GGGGCTAGATAGGGAGGGAGAGCAGCAAGAGTGGTGGCTGAGTAGAGTGCCAAGGGTGGTGGTGGGGAGGTGGGGAGAGCTGCAAAGGTGAGGGTGAGTGAAGTGTCAAGGGTGGGGGTAGGTGGGAGAGCAGCAAGGGTTGGGTAGACTGGTGTAGAAAATGTGGGTGGGGGCAAAAGAGATGAGGGGTAGATTGACAGATAAGGGAAATGGGAGAAAGGAGTGAAACAGGGGGCAGATTGCTGGAGAAGACTCTTGAGAGTCCCTTGGACTCCAAGGAGATCAAATCAGTTAAACCTAAAAGAAATCAACCCTGACTGTCCCCTGGAAGGCCAGATACTGAAGCTGAAGCTGAAATACTTTGGCCACCAAATGAGAAGGGAGCACTCGCTGGAGAAGAACCTGATGCTGGGAAAGATTGAAGGTCAAAGAAGAAGGGGACGACAAAGGGTGAGATGGTTAGACAGTGTCATAGATGCAACGAACATGAAGTTGAGCAAACTCTGGAGGCCGATGGAGGACAGAAGGGCCTGGCATGATGTGGTCCATGGGGTCGTGAAGAGTCGGACTTGACTGTGCGACTGAACAACAACAATGACAGATAAAGGGAAAGGGGGAAATGGGGGCAGGATATCACAGAAGGGGTAGGGGGTAGGTTATGACAGAGAAGGGATGAGGGGGCAAAGGAGATGGGTAGGTAGATAACGGAAAGGGTAGAAAGAGTGGGGAGATTGATAGATAATGAGGAAGAGGGAAGGAAGCAAAGAGGGGGAAGGGATGCACCCTCTCTGTAAGTTTCTTGCAGGTCCCCACTTGTGGTAGCCTAAATGACGACTGAATGCGTCTCCTATCTTTCCTCTTGGATCTCACCTTACAGTAGGAGACAAATGGGTATGTTAATTCACCTTAAGTTCAGGTTCCTAGTAGTGCAAACAATACATGATGCTGGAGGTCTTTGGTTGGAGACCCCAATGCAAGAGCTGGTGTGGTACAGGGGACAGAATTTCCACTGGGAGACCTCAGGCGATCATCCCCTCTCAGGACAGAATCGGGTAGAGAAGGACCATGTCCCTTACCATTGAACACCTTGGCAGGAGGACAGAATAAAACACGAAATAGATGGATGTGAAATGACTCTCAAGAAGCAGTTGTGTGTGTGTGTGTATGTGTGTGAGGTCAATCTAAACCGAGGCCATGGTGCTGAGAAAGGGGCAATGTAGCTCTTCCCCCCCCCCGCAGTCTCTTTTTTTCCTACTCAGCTACAAGTAGCCTGGGGGAGGACTTTATTGATTGGGGAAATGCTGGGGGTGGGGAAGAGGAGCCATTCCCCCCTCCCCAGCCCCACAGCCACAACCCATCTCCCCCCCCTCCCCCGTGAAGCTATTATTTAAAGGCTAAATTACACGGGGAGGGAGAAATCTGATTACATCTAGGACCATTGTTTCTCACTGCCAAAATATATCTATTTGTTAACTCTCTTATTTGTATGCTATTTTGCTGCTATTCACAGGTCTTACCAACTACTTTAATCCAATCTGAGCTATATTTTTTGCTCGGTAACTTATGCCCCTTGACTCTAACTAGCCCTCCTGGCAACTAAACCCCCCATCACCTATATGTAAGGCTTGAGGAAGTCTTGTTTCAATGTGTCTGAAGTGTGCATGCACACGAAAGCATATGCCCAGAATCAAACTTTGTTGGTCTTCAAGGTGCCCCCACTGGACTCAAAACTTTGATCTATACAACAAAACATATTGAAGGCAAGCACAGGGGGTGGGTATGGAGACAAGGCGCCAGAGAGATCATTGCAGAGGTATAGCATGTGAATGCCAGAGCACTTTGGAGAGCATAAGAACATAAGAGATGCCAGTGTTGGATCAGGCCAAAGGCCCATCCAGTCCAACACTCTGAATCACACAGTGGCCAGAAATACCAGGTGCCATCAGGAGGTCCAGCAGTGGGGCCTCACGTATTATTCGAAATCTGAGGGCTTTTTTAACACATTATGCATAATAGGCTGGCACAAGAGGACAGGGGAGAATCTGCCCCCCCTGCCTTAGGCAAATTTAAATTTGTTGCTCAGCTCTGTGTCAGGGTCCTTAGTCAGGTTACACAATACAGGGCTTCATGAGAAGATAACTGTTTATTGGTAAATCCAGTACTAGAGACACGTTTACAGCTTGTGTCAGGAATGGCTGCATATACAAGGGCCTCTGACTTATACTAGAATCAAACAGCCCCCCGGTAAGCATAAGCCAATGGATATACCTCGTGTGCACGGGCAAAGCAAGCAGGCAAAGCAAAAAGCCGTTAACTTTCCCAGCCGAGAAGAGCTGCGGCTGTAGCATCTACAAGGTCAAGCATAAGATAGCAACAGTTGGTGAGCCAGGGAGACCTGAGACAGAAAATGGGAGGGCACCCTTCCACATTCCAGAATTATGACAGGGCTCTGTTTGTGCAACTCTGTTTGTGTTAAGTATTTCATCTGTTCTCAGCTTTCTAAGGTGTTGTGATTAATTAAAGATCAACATTTTACATTTGTATCTTTAGATTTGCTTTTGTAATGTTCCTGAAGTGAAAACTGGCAATTCTAAATCCTCCCTTTGTTCACAAAAGACTAGTTTGTCATCTCCACAACCCAGTTTTTCTTCAGGGCTCCCCCCCCCCCTCAACAACTCTGAAAGAGAAGTTAGGCAGGAAAAATATTATCTGGTCCAAGATTATTCAGGGTCATTCAAGGCTGAGGAGGGATCCGAACACAGTTTTTCCCAGTCTACATTCAAGACTCTGTGCTGTCCTTCCCCAGCATTTGTCTGTTTTCTTCTTCTCTGAAAACCATGGGAAGCTTTTATTTGAAGATGGCTTGCTAGACCAGTGAGGATACTCAACGTACAAGCCAGGAATGCTGAGAACTTTGACATGAAAATGATTGCCAGGTGAACGTATTTTGAGTAAGTTCCCTCAGTCATGCATCATAATCCAGAAGTATCATCAACAACAGCCAACAAAGCCACTAGAAGCTGCTGTCTCTGTTCCAAACAGATGTGTGGAAGCTGTGCGGCGGGGCGCGGGGGGAGAGCCTCCGGGCAGACCTGAAGGCCAGAGTCCTCTCTCCTGTTTGACTCCCTGTCAACCTAACAGGCTGCTACCTAGACCTCTTGGCATTTGCGCTTCAGCTTCCAGGTTTCCCAATGTTGGATCTGTGCCCCATGCTGCACCAATGCTCCGGTGACTGTTTTCCAGTAAAAGCTGTGACATATTTTTCTCCAGTTACATGTTCGACTTCATTATTCCCCTTTGGGCCTTCACCTTCGCCCCTTGCCCCTAGAACTGCAAACTATGGACCCAGATTTACTGGGGGCCGTTTTGTGTCCATGGGCCGGGAGCGAGTGAAAGGGGTGGGGAAGGCAATCCAGGTGTCTAAGCTGGCTGCAAGGGGGCCAGAGCCCCCAGGTGAGCCTGAAGGCTGGAGCCTTCATTCTGGTCTGTCCCTGTGGCTTAATGGGCCGCCACCTGGGCTAGTTGGCAGTTGGGCTCCCGCTTCCCCTGCCCATCGTCCCTCCATCTCAGTCTTCATGATTGTTGCATAGTTTCTCCTTGCACACCTGTTCCATCACAGCTTTTCATAGGCCTGTTCCATCACAGCCCAGATCAAGGTTTGGGGGAAAGCTGAGCAAGTGCCCCTTAAGGGGTTTTGGGGTTACACTTGTTTGGTGAAAGGCTCAGCTCAGGCACCCAGCTCAGATGGCAAGGGAACCACACAGAAACATGTGTCCATGTGGGTCCTCCGGGCCTGCCATCCCATGGTGGCCCCCCCAGCAGGCAGGCTGGGTGGATGGTTGGTATCATCGGCCAACAGGTGGGCCACCCAGTGCTGGATCTGCGCCCCGTGCTGTGCCAATGTTCTGGAGACTGACTCCCAATAAAAGCTGCGGCCTCTTTTTCTCCAGTTATCTGTCGGGCTCCTTATTCCATTTTGGGCCCTCCCTCCCTCGTCCCAGGGCTGCAAAACAGATGCCTTTGGACTGGGGGTCCTCTAGGGGAAAAGCGAGACATCATATATTTTTTTAACAATGATTTTTCAGACTCCTTTTTTTTAAAAAAAGCATACACCTACACTAGGAACACTTTTGTGAGTGCAAGTCCCACTGAATACACCTGAGTCAGATTCTGCGTAATCCTGTTTAGGACGATAGTACCAGGTACTCATAGGCAGCAAATGGGAGTGGGGTGGGGTGGGGGGAACACACACATAAAATACCCAAGTCTTTGAGAAAAAAGAAGGTCAACAACAACAGCAGCTTCACTTTCAGTAAAATCCTAGACAGACCTGCGCCAGTCTACATCCACTATAGTCACCGTGGTTAGAAAGGTTTAACTCTGCATAGAACTACACTGTTAAAAGCTCAAAATTCAAGTCATCCAGATAGCGGGTTGTCGGGGAGGGGGGGAAGACTGCATTTTGCTCATTGACTTAAATGATTTCCAAGTATTGTAGAACTGCCATTCCACAGAACCAATTTTTATACTAAAAAAAAAAATAGAGTCGCTGCCATAATTTGCAATGCAATATTCCACAACTGCGAAGAAAATGTGGCAAGGAGCAATAACATCCCATTTTCTCATAATCCTGTCCTTCATTTGTCTTTTAAAAAGCCAACAGAAGCCATAGTTGCAAGCATAACGATGTTGCAGTGTTACTCAAGTGAGGAGCCAAAGTAAATCTCTGTAACCCCACTTTTTGCACAGTATGCTGAACAAAAAGAAGCCTCATAAACCAGACATTGAGAGTACAAACACACAGTAAAATACAGAAGGGGAATGAATATTACAAGGTTATTTTTTTCAGTGCAACCCCTAAACATTCATTGTTTGCATGTGTCCTTGATGCAAACACTTCCGCCCTGATAGATTAAGGATTCCAGCCACTGACAAACAAAGATTAAAGAAAAGGAAGTCATTCCATTCAAGGAGACATCCAAGACAAAGTTCCCATTTACCTTCGTTGTCCTTCAGCGTAAAGTTGGGATTTAAAGGAAGACTGCTGTCCAGAGAAAAACGGAACCTTTGTCCATTGGCAAAGTCGTCTCTGTCAGTGGCGCTGATAGTCTGAATTGTCTGAAAGGACAATGAAAAAGGTGTGATCAAGTCTGAATAGAACTCAGCTGAATCTTGTAAGCTCGGTTCAATTTCACAACCTTCTACATGGCAACTGTCAGTTCTAAGTGTGAGCTCTTTAACGTCTTTTTTGTTGCATCCTCCCTTGTTTTCTCATTCCTTTTGTCTCAACTAATTGGCTTATATTTTATTTGTTACAGATTTATGTTTTAAATGTCCTCCTTTTCTTCTTCTATGATTGGCTGACATAAACAGGAAGAGTTATTTTCTCCGTGGTAGTGAGTCAGTTTAGATGCTGTATTATGCATACGGATGTTTCTACTCTTGTCTTTTACAGACAACTCACAACAACTGTACAGACTCCAAGACTGCAACAGAAGAAACAGTTCTGAAGAAGATAGCAAAATGGTATCTTAATTAGCTGGCGGGCCATCAATGGTTATACTTCACTGTACCGTGCACTGAATTCTTATACTTTAATTGTTAAACTTTACTGTGGCCTGCACTATATATAGGGACCGTATGCACTGTATTGTTTGCACTGTATATATTAACAATTGGCTTTTACACAGTAAAGGATAATTGTTCCCCCCCCCCTTTTCTTTTCGTGTGGCCTCTGGTACTCCATACTTTCTATGCTGTCAAAGGCTTCCAGCACTGTCACTTCACCTGATTTTTGTAGCTTGATATATTTAGGCCAAGACGTGAAATGAGTTAAACAAAGACCCAGCACTGCAGCTTACTGCATATTGGCAAAGTCCATATACATTATGAAGATTTGATAAAGATATATTTTAGTACAAATGCTGCTGGGAAGGATGCAAGCGCGGGTTAAAACAATCTTCTTTTAACTATTTGGCCCAACACTGGCATGCTATTAATCATCCTATCAATCCTCTGCCAAGTAAAACTATTAAATGAGAACGACAGTCACACCAGGGTGTGTGTTATATCTTTTGTTGTAAGGTGGTAGTGAACTGCAGGATAAGCAAAGACATAGCAGCTATGTCATTTATTTTGTCCCACATAAATATGAAGATGAAGTGCTGTTAGACGTCTTTATAGCATTGGGAAATCGGGGTCTGGAAAAATAAAAACCTCTGCAATGCAGACTGCTACACTGGAACGAGGAATAAAACTCCCTTCTCTTCAGTTGGCACATTTGCAATTGTCTATTTGCCAGGAACATTCTCTGGATTGTTGTAACATCAGAAGAAACTCCACGGGTGCTCTTCCTTCTCCCCAATAGCAGATTGCTGATTGTATCTGAGGACATGAATCTGTCTTGGCCCAGAGCTGTCAACGGGAAATACAAACCGCTAGAAAGAGTAATGTGGGGAAGCGCAAGTTGAATTGGGTACATAAAGAGCTGACAGGAGGAAAAAAAATGGAAGGGAGGAGGAAGGAAAAAGGGGCATAGACGGAGGTGGAGAAAAGCAGAGGGCCAGACCCTGCAAAATCTAGCCAGAATTCTTCCTTAAAAGGTCATCTAGTGTAGGATCTTGAAAGCATTTGCTTATTTTATAGAAAGTTTCTGTTGCTATCAACCAATAGGTACTCAGTAATTAAATCTGAAAACCTTAATCACAAATCTCCATTCAAACCAACACAGGCACATAAATGACCAGAACCAGCAAGCATCTCGGCAAACAAGGAGTTTCCCTTCTGATTTATGTGTCCTGCCCGTCTTCTGTCATGGCACCCAAAATGGTATACGCAGGGCTCCCAGGGGGCCTAGCAGACAGGCATGGACTAGACACATGCCCGCTCAGCCTGAGGAAGGCCTCTGTATCCTAACCCTTCCAACCATGCCCCGGAGGAGGAGGAGGACCCCTGCCTTGAAAGGAATCAGTGGTGTGGCCCCGGAGGAGGAGGAGGAGGAGGAGGAGGAGGAGGAGGAGGCAAACTGTAGCTCTTCTTCAGAACTGGATAGCAGAAAGTCTTCAGAGCACAGAGCTGTATCCTAGGAGATCCATGCGTGAAGTCCCCTGGTAGCCCCATGACAAAGAGATAACGCTCCCAGCAAGATCCCAGGAAAACAAACAAAACAAAACAAACCAGTTCCCAGGAATTTCATGATCCAGGTGGATTTTACCAGGAAACCACCATCCCTTCTAGACTTGTCCATGCTGGGCTAACCCCCCTCTTCCTACTCGAGCCTTTCACCTAAACTGCTATCAGGAACGCTTTATGGAGCTGCCCTTGAAAAGCACACAGAAGCTAAGGCTGTTCACTCGGTCTCAGGCATGAGGGCGGCCATGTCACATCGGGGTTAAAGCAGCTACATGGGTTGCAACTTTCCTTCAGGGTTCAATTCGAGATGCTGCCGATTTAAAGCCCAGAGGCCACCAGCCGAATGGACCTCCTTTCGTGGCACCTGTGGACCATGCCGTCTTCTTGGGAAGTCTGTCTGGCATCTACAGAGACATGGGCCCTCTCTAAAGCATTGCCCCACAGTCGTGCAGCAGTTTGTTTCACAGAGTGCACGGAGACTCTTCTCTGTCTGCCTCTTGCTCAGGTCTTGTAAGATGTTGCTATTTCAGACAGCTATTTCAGACAGCTTCCTGGTAATATCAAAACCAAATCTTTGGCAATCAGATCTGTTCTTTCTGGATTTATTTTTAATGGATAGACAGGTTTGACACAGAGAGTATTCCATCTTTCTGTGTTTATACCTCTGAGGATGCCAGTCACAGTTACTGGCGAAACGTCAGGTTCTACAATGCCAAGACCACGGCTACACAACCCGGAAAATCTACAGCAACTGATAGACAGGTGTTTGGTTTTACGAATTTGTGATGGAAACTGCATAAAACTTTGATTTCTTAGATGCTTATGAAATTTATTCTAAAGTCTTCTTGTTTTTAGTATTTCGGAAGGACATGTTGATTTTTTTAAAATCTATTGAAAAGGTATTGCAGCTTCCAAGTGAAAAAGGTTGTATTTCATTGTGCATTTGGATATATCCAGTCTGAACATGTATCTGAAACATACCTTATCTGTATTTCCCACATATATTCAGGTCTCTAGATGGTATCTGACATTTTCTGGGATACTGGGAAATGAGTTCTGAGAAACTGGGAGCCAGTGTTTTAAGGCTCCTGGGACTGCCCCCCCCCCCGAATTTTTCTGTGTGTCCTTGTCAGCATCTTCTTTCCAGGGATTGATTTCAGCTTGCCAGGTTGATCTGGCTTAGATTCTGTGCTTTGAAATTTGTTCTATGGGTCTTGCGACATCGTGTTCTTTCTGCATGTTGGTTTGTGTCAGGTTTGTGGCGGATTCTGCATTGACACTGCCTTGGATTTTCGGATTGTACATTGGGTTGGCTTCTCCTATTGCACATTTTCCGGGCTTGCAGCAGTGCCCCTATTCTGTTTCGCTGGGAAGATTCTCTGGTCTGACATTTTTAGGTTGGGCGTGTGTTGTGTGAGCCTTGCCACACTGTCCTGAACTGCTGCTGGGATTCTCTGGTTCTGTATTGGTTCTTTGGGGTTGGTGGTTCTTCCTGCTTTGAGAGATTTTCAGCCAGGGTTTGCTTTGCCCTGAAGAAAGCATGGAATACCCCTGCCCACCAAAAAAACAATGGAGAATGGCTAGGGGCACCTTGTTCAGAGGCCCACAGAAATGGACTTCTCGGTCCAATTCACTTGAACCTTGGGGGCTATTTAAAGGACAGGAACCACACTGTAATTTCCGTGTTATTTGTTCAAGAAACAGCCCCCCCCAGCCCTCCAGAAAGATTATCCTTTGGGAATAATGGAGCTGAATAATATTGGAATCCCCCCCCCCCAACCCGGATCCAAATACCAAACTGGTATTTGGGACCTGGATAACCAAGAATAGCGGTATTTTTCAGCTCCCTGATACCTGGATCCAAAAAAACACCATTTTGTTTTTGAGGTGCACATCACTATATGAAATGTTTCACCAAGGAGAGTTCTAACAGCACCAGATGTTTTTGTCCCACAGAGAGTGGGGTTTCCCCAAGCCAGCCATTTATGGAATACATTTTGAAAATCTCCTCTTTGACACAACCACTACACTGCTTTCAAACATGAGAGCTGAGTGTGCAACTGGTGTTTTACCTGCCCAGGCTTTGCATTCTCACAGACAACCACATCATAATCTCTGGCAAGCTCTGGAGGGTTGTCATTGACGTCGAGAATTTTAATTCCAATGGGGACATGGCTCAGTAGTCCGGGACTGTCTGTAAAACACAAAAGCATCAAATGATTCAGCAGTTTCAAAAGACACTTAACAACATCACAACTTGTCCTCAAAGGACTTTGCTGGCCCGGACCTTGGAGAGTCGCAGATTGGTGCGCTATTTCAAACTGACGGCTTGTCAGAAGGTTTCATGTACTACATCGGAACCACTGCAGGAACGACAGCCTTATAAAGATGTGGTTTGCTGAACACTGCTAGCATGGTGAAAAATGAATTCAAAGGAAAAGCTTGACTGTTAAATGAAAGCTTTGGAACGTTCTGGGACATTTTGGCAGAAGAGTCTTCAGAGTCTATTGGATACTTCCTCCTTGGAGATAGCGGTTAATCAATGGACTTGATTGGATGCTTGTCAGGATCCACATGCTTCCAAGAAGGTTTTACTTTTATTGAAAAGCTATAGACGCAGTAATATGAACACTGTTAGGAATGGCGGGTTACCTATGCGCATAATAGGATAAAGTGCATTCACATCCCCCCCCCCATGGAGTACCCAATTAGATGGGCTCCCGCGCGTGGGCATTTGCCTGAAAACTAACAGCTGCCGAAGCTGGGAAGGTAAGAAGCTTCCCACGGATTCTAGACACACCAACTGCTCCAGTGGCCTTGAGAGATATGCGTTACAGCTAAGATGCAATTAAGTGCATGGGAAGGCATGCACAGCGACCAGAAACATACACCACCCTCATGGCAGCATAGCTGACAATGCTACAGCCTGATGGATGGATAATCAGAAGTAGAACAGTTGGCCCTGTTTTAAAGAACAGTGCAAAAGGACAAAAGAGGAATTCCAACTCAAGTTGGTTCAATCACAATTTAATGGAGCCAATAATGTTGCCGTGTTATTACCAAGAAGCAATAAATAAATAAGTTACATTGGACTGTTTAGCACCGGCTATTTCATGTTCAGAACACTTATCTATACAAGAACAGGAGATTTCCACAAAGTGGTTATGCACATTATAGTGCAAATCTTTGTTGGGAGTGTCAGATTAGGATCTAGGAGACACAAGGCAGATTGAGGGCATTCATGGGATTCGATGAAGTCTCCACACAATGGTCTTCTGTGAGTACGTCCACTGCAGGCGTTTCAAACAAATAGTCTCCCATGTGCATTCTTAGATACTGGAGATGATATTATTTTGTGCTAGCACACTCTAAATCAACAAGTGGGATATAAATTGCTATCTCAGTAAATGGTGTCATTCCATGAGAGGGTTCTTTTACATCAGAGGTTGCACATTAGAATCAACTTCTGTTTACACTAACAAGGCTGTCCTAGAACGTTCCCTGTTGCGGAGAAGTCTCCCACATAGGGAGGGTGGCCCCTTTGGTCAGGTTTAGTATCAAAGTGTACTATAAATGCAAAAGCACACAAATGCAGATTTGAATCACTGTTGTAAACATCTAAGTGTGTGAGATAGGAGACGCTCAAGGCTGTGCTCCACTTTCAGAGCTTCTGTTTTGCTTTGTTGTATCCTTTTCCCTTTTATGCTCTTTTTGGGGGTGGGTTATATCTGACTTTGTTTTGTTTCGCTGCTGTTCCCTGTTGTATTTACCTTTCTTGAGGTTTTGAAGTTTTTTTAATGTTATAAACATGCACGGATGGCTTACTGGCACAGCACACAGAATTCATCATCATCTTCTTTCTTGATGAATGGCTGGGGGATGGAGGGCGAACCTCCCTTTTTGGAAGGGCAGCATTGTTTGTATCTATAAACACCATTCTGATCACAAATGATTTGTCCTCTCTCTGGGTTTTCTACAAACCTAAAAGCAGACTCTGGTAGGTGCTAATTCTCAAGCAGAGACAACATACCAACGTCATCTCTGCACACGAAAGGTTCATACATCGGGAGGCAATGAAATGCAGGTGTGGGTGTGCCTTCAAAGAAACAACCTCCCGCGAAGCTACATGTTTGAACTGTCTGTTAAACTTAATCATGTCACAGCTCACCACTGGAGTTCTTTGTGCCAGAACACACAAAACAGTTCATTATGTATTGATCTAACTTCAGTACTGTACATGTGTGGGACAACATTGTTCAGATTTATTTTTGATGCTTTCAAAACAACCTCATTCTTTCATTTGTGCACCGTAACAGAAACGTCAATTGAAGCTGCAGTGGGAGAGTCAGACCCTTTCTTTTGCTGAAAGGTTGTGATCACAATAACATTGCTTGTTTAATAGAAAGTACACAAAAGGGAATACCCACAGTCAGCACCAGGTCCACAGGATCATTCAAGTGTATTGATCAACAAAGCTGACATAAGCTTTTATAATTTATGAATGGAAGAATTGGAAGAAAAATTTCCCCTTGCAGAAACAGCTTTAGCTGGTGCCTTTAATGCAAGGGTGGGCAATGACCACTGAATATTCTTTAGGGCTCTGGGAGGTGGGTCAGGATGAGACACTTCCACCTATTTTCTCCCTCATGAGATATTCTAAGGATGACCACTTGAACTCAGCATTTGCCTTGCTAAATTTTGTGTCCAATTTAATAGAATCTGGCCGAATGGGTTAACTAACTTTCCCAACTCTGGTGAATTTACTTTTGTATCAACAAGAGGTTGTAGTGTGATTATTGTTATTATTATTTTGGTTTCCCCCTCATTGAAGACCCACATTTTAGATTTCACTCTGGATGTTTAGTTTAGTTTTATTACTACGGTCTTATGACCAGCATTCAATACAAACACTTTGGGTGATTTTATTATCAGTGATAATTTCCCCCTCATTCGGACTCTCAAATTTAGCTCCCCCCCCCCGTCCCAGGATCTCTCTGTTGTGCCTTGACCCAGTATGCTGAACCAGATTTATTGCCTAGGATTTTGCAGGATGATAACTCTGGTCTATACAAAACAATCCACAATTGTTTAAATCTAGACTTCTTCTTGAACATAGATCTTCTATAACCAGTGCAGATGAGCCTGCAGTAATTATTAAAGCTTATAATGCATCAACATCCTATATAATAGAGTCACTGAGTCAAAAACCTGACAGACCAAACAAAGTGAGTAGGAACTGCGCAAACCCCTGGTTTGACAGGGAATACAGAGACATGAAAATTCTCCTGTGTAATTCCTATAGTCCCTATCATGACTCTTAAGGACTTACTCCTTCCTCCAGAATATTTTAAGCTTACGAATTGGCTCCAACAGCTTATGTAAAAAGAGAGGCATGATTAATAATCAAGCCATGACACTAAATAATTTTTTTTAAGTGGGCTATAGTTTTGGGATCACTACATGTGGAGGCTCCTGCCTGTCCCGTTCCCGACGTCCGGGACCAGGGGACCCCAGGGGAGGTGCGAGGAGAAGGAGGACCCCCGACCCCCGTGCCTACTCACCCGGCAGCAACCGCCCAGCAGACCCGGACGCGGCGGCAGGAGAGCAGGGCAGCAGGCGCGCCAGGAGCGGGCGGCGCGACCCGAGCCAGCCAGCGGGCGGGGGAACGCCCTGGCGGCGTTCCTCCGTATAAAGGGGGGCAGGGCCTTCTCTCGGGAGAGGAAGGGGCGGCACCGAGTGTACGGCAGGAGCAATAAAAGACCGGCAGAGACAAGGACCAGGGAGGAGGTGATGCGGTAGCGACCCAGGCCGAGAGAGAGAGAGAGACGAAGGGTATCGTGGCATCCAGACAGAGAGACCGCGGGGGTGCTGTTAACCCCGTCTCCTGTCAGTCTGAGATCCCGAGCTCTCCGGAGATTCCCTTGCCGACCTTCAGGAGTCGCCCCTCCGCCCGGGACAACCCGCCGGCGCCACGGCCTCGGGGGGCGCCCCTCCTCGGGTCACACACGAGCCTGACACTGCCGTGGCCTCTATTGCTTTCTATACTTGGTTTCAGTATTTTTGACCCGGTTTTATGAGGATCAGATATCTGTCGGTGAGCCACTTGATCTCTCCCTGGAGGATTTATCTGACTGGCCACCCATGTCACCTGGTGAAATAAAATAATTGATTGTTCAATTGAAGTCAGGGAAGGCCCCTGGCCTGGGTTTAATATCCCCAGAGGTTTTAAAATTGGACCTGGACTGGTGGGCTGCTCCTCTTGCAGCCTTTTTACAATGATAGACAGGACCAGTCCCTGTCTATAAAAAAGGATGTGTATACAACCCCCTCAAATTTTAGACTGATATGCCTGCTTTCTATTACATGCTAAGCACTTACTATCTAAGCTTACCCTCTGGATGACACAGCAGAGAATTTTGGGCCCAAAACAGGTGGGCTTTTTGTCAGGGGGAAAATACATTAGATCATTGCACTGTTATATCTCATTTGGTTAATAAATATACTAAGAGATGTAACTCCAAATTATATGTTGCTTTCTTAGACCTTAAGGGAGCGTTGGACTCAACTGATAGGGAATTACTTTGGGCTAAATTAAACCAAATGAACATTGACGAGAGACTACTTATGCTCATTAAACAGTTACACACCTCTAGCACCTGTCAAGTCAAATGCTCCTTAGCAGGTAAGCTAACCCCCCAAATCCTTTCCAATAAAGGAGTTAAACAGGGTTGTAATTTAGCATCTTTTTTATTTAACTTTTCCTTAATGATTTTGCCCCAGATGTAGTAGGAGCCAACTGCCATAGCCCTAAATTTGGTTCTATACACATGCCCCTATTATTATATGCTGATGACACAGTATTAGTATCATGCTCCAGAGTGGGCTTGAAACGCTTGCTGAATTGATGCCTTGCGTTTTTTTTACAACTAATAAGTTACAACTGAGTTATGGAAAATAAAAAACAACACCGTCTTTTCAAAAACTTGGAAATTATTCAAACGGATAACAGACGGAAAGGAAATAGAGCCGGTCAAACATATAAAATACTCAGGTGATCTCCACCACTTGCCCTAGTGCTGTGGGATGTCCCACTCTATTAGGGGTTGCCAACTTTTAAATGGTCCCTCTAGCTGTCCCCTTAATAACTAGTTTCATTGGCCCACTTCCACTCACTAAACTTTTGCTAAATGGGCT